GATGGATTCCATGAGGATTACATAGATTGAAACGTATTCTTAAATGAATCTAGGTCAGCTAATTGGCTGACGACATCTGGAGGCTGCTCAACTATAAAATGTGTAGATACTGTGGTTTTATCCAGAGTGTAGACATAATTGGATTTTCGCTGTTTCCGTCTGAATAACTGGCCAGGGTGATGCCTTAATCTTAACTGACAAGGCTTAGCAATGAAACTTCTATCGAATTCCTAAAATCAAAGTATGTTACGCAATTTATGAGTGGACACTTTTCTTATATGCTAATGGAGGAATGACGTTATAGCAACCGCTGGCTGAGCGCCCCATTAATTCAAATTTATCAAAACATAGTACCAAAAATCGTGCACCTCCGGGCTTATTCAAAATTTTGCTTCCAATGAGGACGTAATTTCTTTGAGAATGCGTACGATTTTGACCGCATTTTATGGCGTGGTTTGTAAAGATAAGAGGCACACATTAGTAATTAGACCTACCGAGTCGAAAAAATCTTGCATCCCCGGGCTTATTCAAAATTGTGCTTCCAATGAGAGCGTAATTTCTTTGAGAATACGCACGATTTTGGCCGCATTTTATGGCATGGTTTGTAAAGATAAGATGCACACATTAGTAATTAGACCTACCGAGTCCCTAGAACAAACAATGATAAGGAAGAACAGCGAAAACCGTGGAGTATTTTCGCTTGTTTAACCAAGCAACATACTGGGAAACACTACTGTTTGATGTTCAGTTCTTTGAAATGACTTCATCCTGCGCCGCGGTGCTGGCAAATCTCCCCTTCTTTAGTATTATGAAAACATTTCAGATGTCTCTCTCCTTGAATGCTTCTCAGGACAGTTTCCGAATTGAAGTTCATCCAATATGTTTTCGTTAAGGTGTATGGCCACGTAACATGTGCACGAACCGTGTGACATAATGGAGCAAAAACTTGTCCATACGACAGCAAAACCCATAAACTTCCTTTCGGCCTTCAAAGTTTGCGCTTCTATACTATCGCGAGATTCGTAAGTTATAACAAGTTATTTCTGCTGAGTTCAGTTTTTCTGTAAGAAAATACACGGTAACGGTGGCTTTCTCAACAGCGTCTGATAGAAAAGCCAAAGAGGCAGATACACAATGGCACCTTGTTCGGCTCCAAGCTATGGGGCTCACAAACTATAACGAAGTGAGCTTGTGATTACTTCTGTAGCGCGTACACGGAACTCGCTACTTCGCACACTGCGCACCCCGCGTTCTGTCTGTTTTACCTGGTTCGGATTAACTTTATGCAGACATAGCGTGAATCATAGAATTTCGCAAATTGTATTGTTGTTTCTGTTCACTAAAGTCATTCCAAGACGGTGCTTTACAACGGAACCTTCAACATAATTCGTGCAGACCACTTGAAAGCCCCCAACGAATTTTTGCGTACATCAAAAGCCNTATACTATCGCGAGATTCGTAAGTTATAACAAGTTATTTCTGCTGAGTTCAGTTTTTCTGTAAGAAAATACACGGTAAGGGTGGTTTTCTCAACAGCGTCTAATAGAAAAGTCAAAGATACACAATGGCACCTTGTTCGGCTCCAAGCTATGGGGCTCACAAACTATAACGAAGTGAGCTTGTGATTACTTCTGTAGCGCGTACACGGAACTCGCTACTTCGCACACTGCGCACCCCGCGTTCTGTCTGCTTTACCTGGTTCGGATTAACTTTATGCTGACATAGCCTGAATCATAGAATTTCGCAAACTGTATTGTTGTTTCTGTTCATTAAAGCCATTCCAAGAGGGTGCTTTACAACGGAACCTTCAACATAAATCGTGCACACCACTTGAAAGCCCCCAACGAATTTTTGCGTACCTCAAAAACCCAGCTAATTTGGGGCTTTGAAAACTTGTCTATTTGTGCCATAAAACGGCAAAACCGACGAACCCCTGGTTACAGCATTCAAGCCCAGAAGTCTACCCCCAAATAGGTTACTTTTTGTATTGTTTATTTGCGAGAACTAGGCCAAACTGATGAAGCGCAAGTATTCTTGTGCTGCCTAAAATCATCCATTCTCTAGAGTATCAACTTTTGACTACTATCCTATACGCGTGCAAAACCTTTTGCGTCCGCAATGCCAGTCCGCACTTAAGGCGCAATTAAGTTGTCGGGAATGGAATCACAAAACGCCAGGCTAATAAGCAATTCTACCTCTTTATACTTTCAATATATTCCAAAA